AAAGTAATCCAATATATCTTGCGTTGGCAACTAGCTAAGGGCATGCAAACTATTCCAAATTGATCGCGTATATCTCCTATGTTGTAGGGACACCTGTATTATTTAAAGGTTAATTTGGACACTTAATCATACAATTATGTATATGATGATAGATCGTAAGGCTATATCTTCTCTATAATTATTTAAAAGATATTTGGATATGACGTTCCCCACCATTCCCCAATTATGGAGGTTAGGCACTAAAAATTATGATATATAATTCATACATATCGAAGATACAGACACCTCTTCCACAATCCACTGAATTGAGGTGATATTGAATATTTTGGGCAATATTTGATCCATATCATACAAGTTATCAAATTGTTTATATTTGTATCATATACAAAGCTAGTGCGTGTTCCTCAAGTAGATGACGCAATGGTTTGCTTTAAACTTAAAAGTTAGGGTTCAGGAGTCATTTATATTATGATTTAGTGTTATTATTTTTTCACTTGCAAATAAAAATATTTATGTTCAACTTCAGCGGTTGGCAACTTTGATACCAAATTGTTATGACTAGTAACATATTATCTAATTTAACTTAAAATCCTTACTTAGCGTAAATATCTGTCATTATATTAAAAATAAATTAGGATTAGACAGGTTCACTATTTGTTGGGGGCGTGGAAGATGCGTTACACGTTAATTTAACCATCATTATTTTATGCATACCACAAATGCTGGAAATTTAGATTCATTTTCAACCACAAATATAATAATTAATTAAACCATTTAATGTACTAATCAGTTTTCTTATTGACCTAAAGTTAATCTATTTCATATATGATTTGCCTTGTTCAAATTGACCTTCTTCCTACGAAAAAAAGAGAAGCGAAAATATGAAATCATATGCAATGACGTGTCCAGGCTCATAACTGTAGCTTGTACACCAGTTTGTTTAGGTAAAATTAAAAGAACTTTAATGAAAAGCTCGCGATACTATTTATTTTAACAAAAAAATACAATTTTATACTAAAAAGTTAATCATAGTACTATTCACTTTATCCTTTATTTTGTCATTTTCGTTAATACTCAAAGTTTTCAAACTATTTTTATTAGTTTTTCTTAAAATTAAAGCTGTGACGAGTGAAGGTGGAGAATGGAAGAGACGGACCATGATCGAAGCTCGGCGGAGTCAACTTGGCAGGATCTGGGATCGACCCCATGATCGTCGTACAGTGCAGCACATCGGCCAAAGAGGGAAGAAGACGGAGTTGTTGCTGCCAAAGTGGGAAGAAGGAGTTGTTGCTCAACTTTTGCTTTGTTTTGCATGAATTTTATTCTAAACGTTGAAATTGCTTTCTAGCCCCAGGATTAGTTTCAATATTATTTGATTTGTACGCTCCGCATACAGTGATCCAAAAAAGATAGACTCATCTACATGCAACCTGTGTCCAGAAGCAAATAGATTATTGGGTACCAAATAAATCAAGCAAGCCCAATTTTCTTTTGTTACAATCTAATTTATTTAACTAAAGAATTGTTATTAGTACTTTAAGATCGTCGTGCTCCAACTACAAATTCATGGTTACAATTTTGTAACAAAGAAGTGTAGGATAACGCTTTTGAGTGCTAATACCGGTGTGATTATGACATGTGTATATCAAGAATTGATCATAGGGTAGACAATGAGGTACATGCTAAACAAACATAGCCCACTTCATTCCCACGTCAACATTGTTTATGGTGCACACGCATGTGCTCACGTTGGAGAGAAAATGGGCTACAATGATCCCACCTTAAAATCTTGCAACCACAGGTGATATGCCGTTTGATTTAGAAAAAAATTCCCAAATAAAAATCTATAAATAGCAACCTTACTATCTAACAAATTCACACCTTTGCACCCAAAAAAAAAAAAAATTCACATTCACTACTTATTCACTCTTTCCTTCAAACATTTTCTTTCTATTTTTTCTTCTCCCTCATTTCATTCTCCACATTGCTTGAAACATGGATGGCACTACAAAGGGTCATACTCCACATTGCTTGAAACATGGATGGCACTACAAAGGGTCAAAATTGGACATGAAATGATGATCGAGCTTTTTGCAAGGCTTACCATCAATGCCTCAAAGATAGCACTAAGGAGACGAACATGCTAAACAAAACATAGTAGTTGATGTGTGAGTTAGCACTATTGGAGATGGAAAATTATAGTCCGGCACAATTCCTATAAATATTATATTTTTGGTTACCATATTTAGGAATAGGGGCTAAATATACGAATATCATTGGAGATGACCCAAGTACTTTGTAATTAATATCATTAGCCGTACTTGTAATTAACAAATTTGCATTATATAAATCTCATAATTATAACTGTTCCTTTTTTTACACATCTTTTGAAGAGCATCTTTGAAAAAAAAAATCAATTAAATTCGAGATTGTGTAGTCATCCATATGTATAAGAAAATGGTTGGTTCATTATAAAGATCTTAAATGCTGCAAAACCATTGATTTGGTCATACATATAGATGATTAAACAATTTTTAGTTTGATTGATTTGGAAGAAGCTTGTACAGTTTGGGAAGGGGTTTTAATTGATTAAAAAGAAGAATTTACTTTAACCGATATGCCCTTAGGCACAGCCATACATAACAATAGAAATCACACTTGGAAAGGATGGACAATTAGCTAGAATAGCAGGTGCTGTAGCGAAATTGATTACAAAAGAGGGGTAACTGGCCATATTAAAATTACCTTCTGGGGTGGACAAAACAATTTTCTTTTCAGAAGTGATCTTTAAATGATACTTATGAAAATGAATAGTTCATATTATAACATGTGCATGATAAAAATTTGTGAATCGCAGCTTGGATAGAGAAAGAGGACCACCTTAGGTCCTTATAGGTAAGTGCAACATGATGACTGTGTCGTGTGTTGCTGTGTTCATGTCATTTTTGTGACATACCCGATATCTTAACAGATCGTGTCGTGCAAGGTTTTAAAAGACGATATACGCTAGTTGGGTGGTGGGTTGAGGCCTAACACCTAGGTGGCTAGGAGGGGGCCTAAGCAGACTAGGAGGATTTAAGTAAATTTATTATATATCAGATACATAAGTGCCTAGTTTTACTTAAAAAAATACATAATTGAATTGGGATACCTAATTTGCAAAATAGAATGACATACATATTATAAAGTATTAGAATATAATGCAAAAATAAAGTTATATATTTTCTGTCTAACTGATAGTTGCCTAGGCGAGTTTGGGTGGGTTAGGCGGGTACTTAGGCGAGTTTGGGTGGGTTAGGCGGGTGCCTAGGCAATTTAGGCAGGTGTCGAGGTAGGTATAGATGCCATTTCTTAATTTTCAAATGGGAATTAATCGGCATAGCGGCCAGCTGCCTAGTACTTAGGCGGGGATTTTTAGAACAGTGGTTTCATGTCAAACCTGTTAAAATGAATGCGTAATATGACCCCCCCCCCAACTCAACACTTTAACATTAACTAGTAATTCAACCTGATCCGTTACCTGTTAAAGAAAATATATTTTACTTCAATAAATAATCTAATGAAAAATGTCATACTAATTTAGTATCTACATACCATATTGTCACATAATATTACTTCAAACAATAAAAACACATTTTTCTTCAAGTATTACATACCCCAAAATAAGAGTCTAATGAAAAACATTACTACATTACTACAAAATATCAAACGTACAAGGATATGCAAACTGCAAAATGAAGGGGAGTTTTTTTTTCCAATGTTGTAGAGTCTTTTCTCAAAAGTCAGAACCTTGCTAATGTGACTCAAAATTTGCATGTTGTTTTTTACAGCAAAACCCTTGAATTTTCATCATTGAAACTTTGGGATGATCTATTGTCTTTAAGAGTTAGAGTGATGATGTTTTTAGTAAGCTTTCCACATTAGCACTCTCTTTCACGTAAAGATTTAATCTCACTTAAATTTTATGGCTATTGTAGTAAGATTTTTTTGTAGTTAAAAATTACCAAATTTATATTTTTCTTAACGAGTTGAAACAGGTTACATGCGAGTAGACTTGTTAAGAACCCGTTATTAACGGATTGGCCTGAAACCTGTTGTTTTCGTATCGTCTCTTGTCGGTTCAATGGGTCGTGTAAGAAATTGTCAAGTCTAAGTGCAAGTATCTTTCCATCAAGTAGTAGATATTAGTTATTACACGGATTTGGATCTCATACGGATCCTCTTTGTGAGGACCATAGGTATCCTCACATCCCATCCGTTTATCGTACATCGTGCAACCATAAATCATTATAAAACTTGTTTACTAAAAATTAAACACAAACAGTACATAATGAAAACTAACCACATGATGTACGATAAATGGAAAGAATGTGAGAATCCCAAAGAAGATCCGGACAGGATCCTCATCCTTATTACACAACTTTTGACAGTGAAGCATATGAATAGATAAGATGAGAATTAGAATAGCAGTTTCTTAGCATATTAGCATATATACCTATTAGCTAGAATGCTAAATTTAGAAAGTTTAGATTAAACCAGAGATAATAGAAAGATTAATTATGCTCCTTCTCACCACCTTTGGCACCAATATATGGCATCCCCTTGTTTTAAAACAACTTACCAGTTACCACTTGCTTACAAATGCAGGGGTATTTATGGAATATTGTAAATAAACTAGAAGGGTAGATTTGGACCATGAAAGGAAAGTGAGATGGAGATGGTGGCAAAACTGAAATTTTCTGGACAAAGAGAGTCCACATAATACAACATTTGGTTCAACCCTTTCAACCTTTGGGAACCAGTTGGCATTTGCCTTCTTCCTGTTGCCTTCTTTCTTTCACATTTTCTTGTTACTTCTGAGTCGTAGACATTTAAAATTAATTTAACTGAACGTGATTTGAGATGAAAAAAAATTAATAATCTATTCAAACAAATTTAAAAATACACAAACTCGTGGGAATTACACAACGGTTTTGCCTATTTAAACCCACCTCTTCTACCCTCATTCCTCCTCCCACTCCTTCGTTCTTCAGTGCCCTTTAGCATTGTGCTCTCTCTCTCTCTCTCTCTCTCTCTCTCCCCAGAGTTCTCTTCTTGCAAGAAAGAAACTCTCTCTCTCTCTCTCTCTCTCTCTCTCTCTCTCTCTCTCGTTCATCATTTTGGTATTGGCATTTTAATCTGGTAAGTCACATATTCAATCTTTTGACCAAATACATTTCCAACCGATTTTTTGAAAATTTGGATTTCCATCAAACATCATTTATATGACCAAAGTGGTTCATTTCATTTCATATGACATCCACTTTGCACAAAATTTTTGGTTCTTGATCAAATTTAATTTACACCAAAGGAACATTATTTTGATCATTAACCTAAATCAATTCATACTTTGAGGCTCGCCCAAGAACCCAACAATTTTTTTCCTAATCCAAATTAAAAATAGTTTTAAGTTCTAAAATTTATTGAATGAGTTGTTCTTGTTCCCTAAAGTTATGATACACTATGGGAAGTGCTTGAAATAATCACACATCAAACTTTGTTTAAGTTTACCTTTTTTAGCTTTATATTTGTTTAATTTTACCTTTTTTAGCTTTATACATTGATCTAATGCAGGATCTTAATTATAAACTAAACACAACTTTTACTAGGTTGTAATGTAAATTTATATCCAAATTTAAATTCCCATAAAGCCATTGGTCCACCTCCTCTCTTGATTCAATTATAGTAGCAGCTGTGGATTGTCCATTCAGAAACTAAGAAACCCTTATCCAATTCCACGCTAAGCTATTTGGTAGTATGGCTTTGAAAATCCTTTTCTTCTTTTGGTAGTAATCTGAGTCAACAGGGGCCACTAATTATATGTTTTTTTAAAGTTTAGTTGAGACCGAAAATGAAACTTGATATAAACTTGTGTGGATTTAAGGTTTCATGGAACTCATTGTTCACTTCCCTTTGCTGTTTTCTGAAGGTTTCTTGAACGAAATGGAATTCGACGATCGATTCATGCAGGCTCAGAGGACAAAGTACGATTGCCTTTTGTTCGGTAAGCCCTTTTACTTTCGGAAAATTGTGTACGAATACGAGTTAACTTGTAAAGCAATCATCTTAGACCACTATTGGTTGAACTTTTGCAGATCTTGATGATACACTGTATCCCTATAGTAGTGGGATTGCCACAGCATGCAGAATCAACATAGAAGGTAATACTTTTGTATTCTAAGCAAGGCCTTGGAACTGCCAACATGGTCGTTCAGCATTTTTCATATCATCATATTTCGTATTTAATAATTTTCCTTTTTTTCCTGCAGATTATATGGTTGAAAAGCTTGGCATTGACAGGAGCATAATCCCTGAGTTGGGTAACCTTCTGTACAAGAATTATGGAACAACAATGGCTGGTCTCAGGGTACTTTTTCTTTTCTAAATACTTCCCCATATTTTTGGCACTATTATAATTTATTTCTAAGCTTTGGGGTCCTTCTTTGCAGGCAATTGGCTATGACTTTGACTACGATAAATATCACAGTTTTGTCCATGGAAGATTACCTTATGACAACATAAAACCCGACCCGGTTTTGAGGAGCCTCTTGCTGAACCTGCCTTACAGGAAGATTGTAAGCATCTACTGTGTAACTGGTTATTTATTCCCGTCTCTCACATCACGTGACAAGAGTTTTAATCTTTCTTCTTTATGGTAATTATTTCTGTTTTCTACGCCAAACAGATATTCACAAATGCAGACAAGATCCATGCTGCTAAAGCACTAAGCAGGCTTGGATTGGAAGACATTTTTGAAGGGATTATCTGCTTTGAGACCCTCAATCCGATTCACAAAAACACTGTCTCTGACGACGAAGATGACATCGAATTCGTGGGATTAAGCAGCACTACCTCCATTACTAGCAGCTCTCAAATTTTTGACATCATTGGCCATTTTGCTACACCAAACCCCACTTCCAAACTACCCAAAACTCCAATCGTCTGCAAACCATCTGAAGACTCCATCGAACGGGCTCTCAAGATAGCCAACATCAACCCTCAAAGAACAGTAAGAAACATTTATATTCTCATCTCAAAATTTGAATATCTGCAGGTTCTTTAGATACTATTTACTTATGCTAATCTTTGGTTGGTATTTTTGGCTCTTTCAGTTGTTCTTTGAAGATAGTGTCCGCAACATACAAGCTGGCAAAAGAGTGGGACTTCAAACTGTACTGGTAAGCAATTGATAACTTTATACCAAAAATAATATCATACCAACTCATATTCAACGGATCTCGTGAAAACTCCGAAAGAAATCAATCATTATTGACGTGTACAGCAGTACAGTTTGTCGATTTTGGTTACAAGCTGATGCAATCTTTTGTCACTATTTAATGTTACAGGTTGGCACATCTCAGAGAGTAAAAGGTGCAGATTTTGCTTTGGAAAGCATTCACAACCTCAGAGAAGCAATACCAGAGCTTTGGGAGGCTGATAGGAAATCTGAAGTTGGTTACTCTGGGAAGGTTGCTGTGGAGACATCAGTCACGGCTTAGATTTGTGCCCAAGATGACTAATTAAGTTTTCATGAGGAACGAAATCATGTTTTTTGGGATTTTACCATCCCATTTCCCTCATCGTAAAAAATCTCATTTTCCTTGTCTCATTGTAATCCCATGTTAATTATAATAAAAATATAACTTTATGTTCTCATATTGTTAATCTGAACCAAATATTCAAATCACAATTCACCAACTATTCAGTTTAACAAACTTTCTCTCTTGCGCATTACCCACATGTGCATGGAATGAGCATCAGCTTACTTCATCAAATCTCAGCCTTCCATTTTTTTAATGAAAACGAAAGGTTGAGATTAGATGAAGTCAACTGATGCTTATTATATGCGAATGTGCGTGATGCACAGGAGAGAAAGTTTGTCATGTTCAATAGTGTAACAAATTCAAGCAACGACTCACCAAATTAATCAATTTATTAACATGACAAATTCCTATAATGATTCACCAAAACGTTCAATATAAATCAGGGGGCACCTTATACCAATAATAAAACTAAAAAAGGAAAAGCATTTTTTTAAACCGTAAATTTAATTACTAACAAATCATATGTACACAAACAGAGGGCCAATTAAAAACAAGATTCTAAAAAACATTAGGCACTAGTCGGGCGGAGGGTTAGCGCATAGTGCTTAGGTGGCCTAAGCGGTTTAGGTAAATTTCTTATATATTATATGAATTAATTAAATGTACTATATCAGATGTAAATAATTATTGAATAATATGTTATTTCTTATAAAAGAACATACAGATGTGAATGTTTTATGTACATATATAATATGCTTGCCTAGGAAAAAGAAAATATTATCTAAATAATTTATAATTTATAATATATATATATATATATATATATAATATCCCAAACTTTTAAAAATATAAAAAGCCCACGCAAGTGGGTGGTTTTCATAATTAAAACTTGATGACCCTTCAAGTAGTTGAAATCACCTTTCAATTAAAACCATCTGATGACCCTTCAATGTTGTCCACCTTACCTCTTTCACATGACCCAAGGTGGCGCCTGTCCACCTTACCTCTTTCTTCTTCTTTGCCCTTATAGAATCTCAAAATTGTTAGTAACTCTTTCTCTCTCTTTCTCTCTCTCTTTCTGCACTCTCTCTTCCCTCATCTTCGTTCTTCTTCTTCACCCTTTCAGAACCTCAAAATTGGATCTCAAATCCAACTAGCGCCACCACATATTGAAATGTTTAATACTCTCTCTCTCTCTCTCTCTCTCTCTCTCTCTCTCTCTCTCTCTCTCTCTCTCTCTCTCTTCGCACTCTTACTTCCCTTATCTTCATAAAGACGAGCTGCAGAAATTCGCTAGGGCTTTGCTGCTACGTTCAAGATCGGAAGTTGTAGATCCATTGCGAAAATTGCAGCGAGATTCAAACCGCCTAAACTGCCACCTAGCGCCGCCTATGTCCTCCCTGCCTAACTAACTGTTTTGGTCTAAATCGGGTCAGAGCTCCGCCGCCTAGAGTCTAGGTGGCCGCCTAGGCTAATTTTTAGAACATTGATTAAAAGATAATGTCACATGGTGTCCCAAATTTTATTGTATTTTATTCTCTAACATTGCAAAATTTGAAATTACGAAAGTGTCCCTGGTGGGATAAGTGGAAAATCATACGCGGCCATCTAAGTCATTTTCACTCTTTGTCTCTTTCTCGTCTTTCTAGATAGTACATGTCCTTACGAACAAGTGAGTGCAAACGAGACGTTAATTAGACGTGCAATGAAAAATTTACGCACATTTCACAACGAGGGGCAAAATAGTGCTTTTGCAATCTCGAGAATCCACATCTTTCCTTCTTTTTTTTTCCAAGACAACAATGGGTTAGCAGTATTGCAGATTGCGGTACTGTTGGCTTAGTCATTTGACTTGTTAAAAAAGTGGGCAAGTGGGCTTGACCCAAACACACACACATTCTCGTAGTACTCGATGACATCTACGAGTGGGCGCAAGCGGAACGGAATTTTAAGTTCAAACAAAAAAAATCAATGAAACTACAATGTTAAGGGCAATGCTGTAATTTCAATCTTTAAGATATTTTCCTAATCTATCATTCTACAATGTTAGGTTTTTGGGTCCAGTAGGACCCACCCACTTGCTCTCTCTCCCTCACTCTCTTTCTCATCACTTTTCTCACATCTCTCTTTTCCATCAACATTCTCCATTTCTCTCTCATGTTTTATCCCCTGACCACACCAACGCCACAACACACATCTCAAAGAACTAAAAACCATTAAACCACCACTATATCCACCTTCTTAACCTCACGAGCTCAAGTTTCAGCTTTGTTTTGTATAAAATCGAACCCAAAGGCTAACTCTAGAGAGTTTCGGCAAGTTTCGAAACTGCCGACAAGAATTTGGCCTAAATCAATCGATGTGGGCGAGTTTGAGGCAAGCGATCGACTTACCATCGTTCAAAGACCCAAATCCAAGCCTTGTGTGCTTGAATTTGCCACTGTCTTAACACAACCAAAACGGATCGAGGCTTTCGAGCCATTTTTAGGCCACCTCCAGCTACCATTTGAACTCTGAAATGGTAAATTCTTATCCCTCTCGTCTTAAGCTTCATTTTCGACATATTATGAGTTAAATTTGGATGTGAAATGAGCAAGTTATCGCTTTATGAAGAAATCCTGCCAAAAGGCCATAATCTGGTGAGAAAAACGGCAACAAACGACGACACTGGAGACGAATCCTGGAAAAAAAAAGATGGAATATTCCAACTCCGTCAGGTGTCTAAAACAATTTTCACTTGTTTAATAGAATATTCCTTCGGTTGATGGAATATTCTGTCGCTGGCTCAACCAACACGTGTTGGCGCGTATCGGCTTCAGTCGGCGCGGATCAACTTCGGTTGGTTCAGCTCAACTGACTTGTTCACAAGCGTTGACTTTGACACTGATTGTTTACTTTTTTTCAAAATCGCCTCGAGACCTCTCTTAAGGTATTTGGACACGCTTATTCCATTTCCGCACTCCCTTTCTTCAGATTCAATTGTTTTATTGGAGTTTTACTAATGAGTCCTTGTAGCTGTTGAGGTGCAATTGTTACATAGACCTTGTACTTCCTACTTTGAGTGGTTACTACCCCGCAAAGTAACTATAAATAGGTCTTTGCTTTCAAATACTATTATACTATAGTTTATATGAATGCCTTTTGAATGTTTGTATGACATGCCATGTTTCACTTAGAAAATAATAATGGCCTACACTTGGTTATTTATTATTATTTTGCGAGTTTAAACTGTGACATGTACATACTCGTGATTTTATTAGCTCATTATTAAAGGTACGCAAAGTGTCACCTTGTATTGTCCGGGTCAAGGACTAGCTTCACATGTATGTTCATATGCACCATTTACGTTCACTTTGGATCCAACATGTTCCTAGTTTTACATTAGGCAACTAAGACCGATATGTGAATGCTTAATGCCAGCTTCACGTGATTGTAGTACCAGAACGTAATCTATTCACCCAACCTTTTCATATAGTTACTTATGCATGATTTGTGTGCTTACATGATCTGATGAGCAATGACTATTTGTTATTACTGTTACTTTTACTATTATGTACCCGTATTATTTTATTACTACATATGTTGGGTACTAAACAATAAAAATTTGATTAGTATGTTATTTTCGGAAACTACATTTGTTTTACAATAGAGGTTACAACTTTTACGAAAAAACGATTTTACAAAATTTTGCTTTTCGACCCACTCACCTTTATTTTTCGCCCCTCCATGACTTAGTGGTTGTGCTCTTGTGGCGATGAGAATTACCAGAAAACGCTAACCTACACTTCTGTTAATGTAGGTTTCTTTTTATTGTTTAATGTGTCTATCTTTCTAGGATAATAACATCCTTACTTTTTATTACACTCTTATCTATGCTTGGATACTTATACTTTGTAATAAGGGTTCTAACCTGCATATTGGGTACTCTTGCTTTAGTTACTTTATGTCTTGATTTATCCGTACTTTTCCACCTCACTTTCACTTTATGATTTCGTCACCTTCCAAGTGTTAGCCATCATATCTCAATTCGGGTGTCTAGGTGGACATTCCGTATTGAAGTGTGTTCGACAAGCACAATACAAAGAAATGGACCCCTGAAACAAAACAAAACAAAACAAAGCCAAACTAGGTTTTGGAGCCCAAAGCAGAAAGAAAAAAAAAGAAAAAAAACACACAAACCCTATTAGCTTGCAACCACCTATGATGTTGTAACACCACAGATCCATGAGACCTAACCAAACGACACCCCATAATTGAAGGAAATGAAAGAAAATAGGCTTCATCGTTCTCAACTAAGCACCACCTGTTGTAATCTTATAAGCCATTCAATGTGTGGATGGCCAACCCACTACAACCCATTACAATTCTACATGTTTGTCCACTAATCCACTTGCTGCCTCATCCTTCCATATAAAATCACACACAAAAACACAAAGCCTTACGGCTGAGAAGAGAGAAAAGAAGGAAGGAAGAAGAGAAGAAGAAGTGAGAAGCCACAAGGCTCACGGCAAAGAGAGAGGAGAGTTATCTTTGTAATCTTATTATTTCAGATTATAAATGAAAGCTCTGCTGCTGCCCCGAGGACATACTCTAATCACACTGACTGTAGAGGAACCTCGTAAATTTTGTGTATTGTTTCATTCATTCCACTGAACACACCATCGATTTTACAACACGTTAACAACACGAGAAGCTCTCGTGTCAGTGGAAAGCACAACGCCACAAATATTTTCACCTCTATCGCCTAGAACCTCATAGATAGGAAAATCCTTTCATTTCATCCTAAAATCTTTGTACTACTGATTTTCTTGAAGCAAATATATATATATATATTGTTGTATGATTGTATATCATCCTTTGCAGAAGCAAAAGAGTACACTCAAAATTCATAGAGAATCTGACAGCCATGTAAACAGCTTCGGAACTTCAACTTGCAGATCTCAGATTGAAATACTTTCCTCTTCAAAGTTGTTCGTCCGCCCAATATCTATAACATACCAAATGTTCAGAAAATTCCAATGGTGCGATTATCGCAGATGCCTAAAATGCCAAACCAGTTTCTAATTTGTACAGAAAATTGGACAGACACCTTATGAGTACCAAAACTCCATTTT